ACATCTCTTGTTGTCACATTGTTTTGGAGCTTTTGAGACTTAATCACAAACCTGCAAACTAACATTTGCAAGCAAATATACGTGCTAATACTTGTCTTTGTCATGGGGCTTTTATTCCCACCACCATTTTTCATTTCTAAAAATTCTGAAACCTGTAGTCTAGCTCGTGCTCTCATTGCTGTGTGCCTTGAAGTTCTCCAAACTCAGTCTGAATCATAGTCATTCGAAAGTCTGGTAGAGAAGGCCCATGCCGGAGGTGGTGTCTTTGCCTATATTGACATAATTACTGGGTATGATGGTTGAAAGTGGACCATGGAGCTGCAAAAGGAAGTCTGTTTTGCTCTGGCCACCTAGCTGAAGTAGTCTTCCATCATTCAGCAGGAGTAATTGTAGGGAGGCAGTGAGCGGGGGATTAGTGGTATCAGCAAACTAAGAGGCTTTCATATTGACAGAGAACAAGCAGTTTCATTCCTTGGGAACTTATTTAATTCTCTTAAAACTTTACCCACTGACACACTGAACCAAGTCACCCTCCTCTGGTTGCCCAAAGCCAGGTCAGCGTTTTGCCTCACCTTCCAGCTCAAGTGATTTAAAGGTGGGAAGCTTATTCTGGAGCTGGAGTCAGGGACAGCTTGGCTGCCAGATCAAGTCAGACTGGTATTCTTGTTCTCATTGAGCTGATTGAAGGCCAGTCAGACTGGCTAGGGAAAGCCATGAACTATATCTCAGCTACTCTTACAAGGCAGGCGGTCCGAAACTTACCATCCTCCAGTGCGAATTATGTTAAGGTTAGTAAACAAAAATGAAGAAACACATAGTTTACACTCCTGCTCACTAAAATTCCTCACTGTGTTTCATGATTAAAATTAGAAAAACTTCAGAGCTTGAGATCCCCACAGAGGTTTCTGGGCTTAGCATTTCTCTAAAGCAACCGTTTAATTATTTCACTGCGCTTTATTGCACCAACGAATGAAGAAACTGCGGCGCGTGTTGTTCAGGCTGTAAATAATATGTGATAGCTGTGCAAAACTTTATGAAACCGATTTTCTAGTGTTTGTCTGGTGGCTGATGGTCATACTGGAGACACGTGAACTCTACAATAAAAAAAGATGTTATGTATATTAATATATTAATGTGCTGCAGTTTGTGTTGAACTGATTGTGTGTTCTTTTGTGTGTGCGTTTCAGACCTGCTGTTTGGTGTCCCTGGAAAGTACACCGGAGTCAGTCATTACAACAGGAAGAGGGTGGTGACGTACACAATCACTGTGGTGCTGTCCAGCTACGACGCAAGGTGAGTGGAATAGATAAAAAAGAAAGGGAGATTAAAGTGCGGTTTTACTTGAGTTTTAGGGGAGCAGGCATGAAAGAGATGTGTTTTGAGGGATGGTGTAATGCTGGACACGTTAGCGTTAAAGAGCGACGCCGCACGAAGGATGCTGAGCTGCTGGCGGTTGGTTTGCGGCCGTTTTACCTGCCGAGGGAGTTGTCGCACATCCTGGCGGTTGCAGGTTACATCCCCTCCTCGGCTGATGCTGCTGTGAACTCATCCATAGTTCAGTGTCCCAGCTGCAAACATCACAGCCTCAGTCTGTGATCGTCATCTCAGGAGACTTTAATCATACATCGCTCTCCATATCTCCTGATTATTTCCTTGTATTTTCTTTCTATATTTTTGGATGCTGCTGTGGTGTGTAAATTCCGCCCCAATGGGAGATCAATAAAAATGATTCTATTCTATTATCTCAAAATAAATGCTTTCATCTCTCTTTTTTTTCATATTTTTTGCTGCTTCTTCTTGGAACAACATTTCTTTGCATGTAAAGAGCCGCTTTGTGTTGCATAAATGGTAATTGAATCACAGAATTTCTCCTTAATGCATCACTTACTGGTTTTTCTTGTGCTTTTTTTATTCTTTGTAGCCTATTCCCATATTAGTTTAAGGTATGAGTTCAGCAAGCATTACTGAGTCATATAGGAGGTTGTCATATTTCAAGGACTCGACAGTTACACGTCACCTACATCAGATATTTTTTTAAACGGTGTCCACCAGGGTTACATGATCTTCTACAGGGAGTGTTGCATTATGGATTTTTTCGTAGGCTTCATGTTGCACAGCCTGTCACTATTATTAAATAATCGCTTATTTGAGTTGACTGCGATCATTTTGCACGATCTTAAAAGTCTTTTTTATTCAAGTCTATAAAGACAGCTGAATGATGCAAGCAAAGATCTTGTCATTTTTCATTTGTACCCCCTTTCTTCTGCTCTAAGTTAATGAGGCTGATTTTTCACTGACTGCATTTCAGTGGTAATACATTGACGTTAACGTCAGAGATTTAGTTGCTGAACATCGCAGCACTTCTCTGGACACAAATTGGCTTAAAGGTGAATGAAAAGCGAGAGGCGATTTGTTGGATTTGCAGCAAAAAGATAGCACTTTTTGCACCTACGCCACTAAATTCAAGCGGATGGAGGCACGACATAAACGGAAAAAGATGCGTCGTTCATCACAGTTTTTTGTATTGAATTATGCTTCTGCAGATAGAAATGAAATGCCCGCTATGCAGATCTACTTACTTAGGCCCTCAGCAAAAAAAAGTAGATCCAATGAAAAACTGTTGAGAAAAGCAAAGAACACACACAGATTCATTTATTAGTTAGATGACAGTTAGTTATGTAGTTAGCTGTAGTTTCATGATTTTGACAACCCTGAGTTTGGCTGCTATGCTAACCGGTGTTCATTTGTAAGGAGCGGTTGGTTCACCGAGATGACCGTGCAGAAGTTTGTGGTGATTTTCGTAACATCTTTTGCGGTCAGGAAGTAAATAAATTAACAATAACTGAAAACGAGGTGGGCTGCAAGGTTGCTTGATGGTTAGCACCGTTGCCTCGCAGCAAGAAGGTCGCCTGAGTCAGCTGGGATAGACTCCAGCTCCCCCCCACGACCCTAGCGAGGATTAAGTGTTGTATAGATAATGGCTGGCTGAAATCGAGTTCATACTGTCTCCCAGAGTTGTCAGTGAAAATGATTTTGCAAGAGCCTGACATGTGAGAGTGTGAGTCTGTGACTGATAGACAATTACACAATTGTGGGTTTTACATTTTACTGTATTTTGTGTTTTCATGATTATGCAAGAAAAAAAAAGGCTTCAATGATGAGGACTGTTCTCCCTGAATTAATAGTGTCTCGGGAATCTTGTCTCCTTGTGTTTTCCTGTTCGTCTTATATTCAGTTTCTTTGCTGTATGTGATAATAATCTTGCTGCCTGCGTGTGTCCAGGTTCATGGGCAGCCTGCGGGCCCGCCTGAAGCACCTTCATCCATCAGCCAACTGCAGCCTGAGAGAGGACCACATGGTTCACGTCCACTTCAAGGAGGAGATCGGCATCGCTGAGCTCATCCCCCTCGTCACCACATACATCATTCTTTTTGCCTACATCTACTTCTCCACACGTCAGTCCAACTTCCTGTCCGTCTGCTCCGTCCTGTGTGTCTTGTTTCACCGTTACTTTTTGCCATCTTGGTTTCTTTCTTCTCTCCTTGTTTGCGCACCTCCTCCCCGTCCCAGTTAATATTTGAAAAGCGCCAAAGATTCAGACTCACGGCCGTTGGGCCTTTGTGTGCACACGTGTGTTTGTGTGCCAAGGTTGTTCCTGTCTGGTGCGGGGATTATCCTCACACGGGAACATTGCACACCGCTGTAAGAATGCGCACAGCAAACCCTCAGCAACTTGCCAGCACAAACATTAGTTCAGACAACAAAAACACACACACACACACACACACGCTCTAAATACTCAAAATGAGTATTCACACTTAAGCTCATTATTCGACTTACGCTTTCCACCTTGTTAAATACATTTTTTTTAGAAATGTAATTTGCAAAATTAAGATAAAATTCTTGCAGTGTCACTTTTGTTTAGGAGTTTTAAAAGACTAAATGAGAAATGTATTTCCCAATTTCCCCCTAAAATGAGAATCCTTAATTTTAAGTGATTTTTTTTCTTTTTTTTTTTTCTACCCAGTCTTCTGTCATTGTTATAAAATACACTTTATTTATCACTTGTAATCAACATTGTGCAGCAAATTCAAATTCATAGTTTGAGGGGAAGAAAGAGAGACTTGGACATTGTAGCAGGGTTCTGGACTGCGACCAGTACTGAGTGCCGGCACAAGTGGCAGCTGCTTTAGCCATGCCGGTGGAAGGTCGCACTCTTTTCTTCTTTTTTCCTTTTTTGTTTTTCAATGTCTCAGTCAGTCGCCCCCGACATGAAACAATCCAATTAGCTGTCGCTTGTTCCAACGATAAATCGGTCCATAGCAAATTGTTTTTAAAAACATAACGAGGAGAGGTACCAACTCAGATACTTTTTATGATAGAGAGTGCAGATACAGGCAGGGAGATAACAGCTGATTAATTTCCTGGATTTAGATTAAAGTCAATCAAACTGACGCTGGTACAGCTGTAAATTACAAGGCCTACGATCTCAGTGTATTTTAATGGAAAACCTTATGTTGACTTGAACTAACTGGGAATAAAAACTTTGGTTACAAAGTTTTACGGGAGTTACGAATGATAATTAGCAGTTGTTTGGATCGCTCCATTGTCTGGTCCTCAGCATGTGTTCTTTTCCTTCTTCACAGGTAAGATTGACATGGTGAAGTCTAAGTGGGGCCTGGCTCTGGCTGCTGTGGTCACAGTCCTCAGCTCTCTGCTCATGTCAGTGGGGCTGTGTACACTGTTTGGACTGACACCCACGCTCAATGGAGGGTAGGACTGCCTGCTTTCTGTGCTTATTTCAGTTTCTGAAGACGACTAAAGAGCCTTGGGCTCCACTCCTGTTAGTAGGAATGCAGAAACCGTTTCAAAACCAGGTTGTCAAGAAATCACTTAATTTTTGAACAAGTGGCAGAAATGTGTTTGGAGGAAGTTTGAAAATTGGTGATGAAAGTGTCTCAGACCTGATAGCGTACTGCTGCATCTACTTAATAACTGATGCTTAACTGATACTCAGACTTCCCATTTACAGGGAAACTATTAAATTCTTGTAATTTTTACTGCCTTATTTGCAGCTTTGATCCAGACTGAAATATCTCAGCAATCCAAGGATGCATTGCCATTAAATTATAAGCAGACATTTTATAGTTATTGTACACAGTCGTGCACTTATATAAAACAATGACATCGGAATCAAAATCAGCTTTACTTTGTATTTAAAGTTAATTAGCAAATATTAGCATGCTGACACACATTAGCGTGATAGACATGGAACAGTATTGTCAGCATGCTAATGTTAGTGTTTAGTTCACAGCACCACTGTGCCAAATTACAGGCAGACAGCTGCTGGCTTGGCTGGAGGCTTGTAGTCTTGAATCTGGAACATGTCAATATGTGTCTTGCAACTTGTCAGACCGAGTCACCAAGTTTTATATAGCACATCTAAAAGAACAGACGCTGATCCAAAGTGGTTTCTAATAGAATAATAGGGTTAATGTTACATATTTAAATAATTTATAGTACAAATTAATCTACACAATTATACATGTAAACCAAAAATGCCCTTTGAACAGCATTTTGGTGGCAGAGGAGGAAGAACTCCCCTCTAAAAGCATGGCACCTCCAGCAGAACCAGACTCATTGATTGCAGCCGTCGGCCCGAGCCAGTTAAAATGAGGATAAAGGAGAAAGAGGAAAGGATAGAAAAGAGAAACGTTTATGTGTTCTGCATAAATTATTTCAGACTGAAAACAATTAGTGTCCTGCTGACTTATATGAGGTCAGATAACATCACTACATTCAGCTTCTGGGTCATCGTTAAACAGTGTGATTATTTTTATGCTCTTTGATTGCCTTTCTTATATCCCAGTTAGCGTTTAATTGCCTCGGCAGCCGGTTACAGTTTCATTATAATCTCTTACCTTATTCACAGAAAGATAAGGACAGGTTCACCCACTCCCTCAATTGCACAAACGCACACCAGATTATTGACTTCCCACTTCCTCGATATTGATTTTACACAGATTTGTGTTAATGTTTACATCAGGAAGACAAAAAGTCAGTGTGTCAGTGAGGTCAAAAGAGGAAGGGCCAGCTGTTGAAGTGGGTTGGACCACTTTAGGGGGCGGAGACGTCGCGATATTGACATTTAATGGTTGTCCAATCATTTGAGGATTATCAGAAAGCAGAATCGTGGCGTGACAACGGCACACTGTTGTCCAGCCACTGACTAGGATCCTCGCGAGTCTGCTATGGGCTGTGCTTGTATTGTGGTTGCGTAAACACGCACGAAGGTCAACGTAACCAAACCACAAAGCTACATATGCTTCGTCACGATTCCTCCACGCACAGGAGATAGCGGCAGCGATCGGCTGTGTGCATGTGTGTGTTTATTATGTGCAGCGCTGCTGAGCACGTCTGATGTAACACGCAGAGCTGTTGACTCCTTTGTGACCCAGTTATATGCTTACTTCTAGAGCTCAAGCTTATCTCTCTGCACACTTCACTAGAGGAGGAAATTCCCAGCAGACATCAGCTAAATATTGCCAAACAGTTTCAAGCATAGATTATTTGCTTGTTTTAGCATCTGCACTGATTGAAAAATCACCTAATTTTTAAAATCGTTTGTCTAATTTCAGCTGGTGTCATGTCAATTTTGAGATCTAGCAATCACTGTCACTACAAGCAGCAAATCATGTTGCTGTTCACCTGATCTAAATGCAGCTGCTCATATTGATGGCTGCATGTGGTTTATGCTCATCATTCTTAATGCTAGATGGTCATTTTACAAAACAAATTCGTGGAGGCATTTTTTTTTTTCCACAAATGGTTGTTCTGGTGCGTCTCTGCATATAAATATAAACAGACAACAGTGCTCAGAAAGTGCTCTCTTGCTATTTTTTCTCTGCAGTGAGATCTTCCCTTACCTCGTGGTGGTGATCGGCTTGGAGAACGTCTTGGTCCTCACCAAGTCTGTGGTTTCCACCCCCGTCGACCTCGAGGTCAAACTACGTATCGCTCAGGGTACGATTAGAAAGTATAGAAAAACAGATTTTGGAAGCTCTTACAACACAAAGTGGCCTGTTAAATATCTAGTCTGTTTCTCCCTAAGTGTTGCTCTTTTTTTTAAATCTTCCAGGCCTTAGTAATGAGAGCTGGTCTATCATGAAGAACATGGCCACTGAACTGTGCATCATCCTCATTGGATATTTCACTCTGGTGCCAGCTATCCAGGTAACGGAAACATGGCTGAGTTGTTGCATCACTGAGAGTTAATTCTAGAAAGTACTTTAATGATTTAGCATGTCTCTTATGCTGAACAAATATATGAGAATAAATAAACTACACTGTGTTTATTCAGCAGTATCTTATGTTTATTTTATGAACAAAGCATAATGCTCTGTCAGGCTAAGTGCAGTTTGTTTGCACAGCCGAACAGATCCACAGAGTATTTAGAAATGTCTCTTGTGTCCCAAAGCTTCAGTGTCTGTTGAATTCAACACTGTGCTCCTAGGAAATGAATGGTTGATTCTAATTTTTATCTGTCTTCAAAGCCTCTTATTGGACAAAAAAAACCAAAAACTGAATAATTTGTGAAAACGTGTATTAAAAGGTGGTACCATATGTCATATTTTTGCAGGAGTTCTGTCTCTTTGCTGTCGTGGGGCTGGTGTCTGACTTCTTCCTGCAGATGTTCTTCTTCACCACAGTGCTGTCTATAGATATCCGCCGCATGGAGGTGAGATCTCACTTATACACACATTCAAACCGTTGTTTCCAGGTAATAAATGTTTTTACAGTTACTTCACTGATGCTTTTTTTTTTTTTTAAGGTACCTTATGTAAGCTGCTGTTTGCCTCAAGTATGCCCTAGTATTTTTTTACAGCTCTTGTGACAAATACTAACCATGTTGTACATTTTTCTGTCCAGTTGGTACAAGAATATTTTGTCTTGTCTGCTGTTCTATAAAATTGCTTCATGGTGTAGGCGTTTTATTGAACCAACCAGAAGGACAACTGGATAAATGACATGCATTTGCATCAAATTTAGTTCAGATACTCTCAAAGAGAACATGGCAAACACAAACTAACACACACATTCCTTAGAAGCAAATATAGGACATAAAGGAGGTCAGGTGGAGGTCACAGGCACACATACATTTACCACATAGTTTGGAGATTACTGTTTCCCACACGTGTCCCTCTGGTTTAAACCTCTTACTGCTGGACTGTTGCCCTTTTCCTGCCACACATATATATATATGACAACCTTTCAGCAGTGTTTAGCTCAGTACCCTGCTAAGTAAGTATTAGCACCATAAGCATATACATTTACAGAGAAAGATTTAGTATTCATAAACCTTTAATCCTCTCAAGAATAAAATGTACAATATGGTTAAGAAGGGTTCTTAATGATTGTTTGGCCTATATATTGTTAGAAAGCAGTGAAAAATATCTGTCACTGTTCATCAGTTCATAGTCGTGTCTCCAGATCGATTGTGTTTCCTGACTAGGAGCCAAAAAACTCGTTGACATCCAGTGAATAATGATATCAAACACAGAAAAGTAACGAATGTTCACGTTTGATAAACTGGATGCAGAGAATATTCTGGCATTTGATGAATTGCTTGAACAGTGAATTGATTATTCAGCTGACATTTGTTTCATCTCAGAGAAGAGGGATTTATCAGTGAAATCAGCTGGGAAAGTTTTGGTCTGAACCAATCGGTTTTAAGAAAACAATCCTTTATTAATCCCACAGC